TGAAAGAATAATATGAAATATACATATATATTAAAAACCTCTTATAAATCAGTATGAAATATGTGTTGAAAATTTCTTTCAATAGTAAGGAAAGAGAGAATCACTCCTGTTCGCTGTTGCTTGGACTGTCCTCACATTCCCATGGGTATGTGATGTTTGGCTAGGAACATGTGGGGGTTACAGCGGCCTCTTATATTGGATTGGAGTGAGCATGGGAGGGTAACTGCTTTACACTTTTTTCCCCACTACAGTTAAAAAATAATAAAGTTCTTCAAATCCAACACCATACTCTCATGATCTTTTTCCCTATTTCTGTGTGTTGAGATGCCCCTAAATGCTCTACCTGGTACAGAATCAGACCCCAAGTCTGACATGAACATGAGAGGATATACTTGTGTGGAAATGCTGAGCTACCTCACTGTCAGGATTTTCCTCTTCTGGGTCATTGTGACCCAATCTCTTGTAGTACAAGAGCTGGAGAGCCAGTCAGCAATTAGAAAAAGACATCAACATCTATTGCTGATCAAGCAGAGGTTGAATGCAGCGCAGTGCAGAAGCCACAGAAATCCCCTTGGTTGGTCAACTTGTGCTTGCCCACCTAAACCTCGGGACATTGATATGTGCGCTCTTGTCTTTTGACCCAGCACAGTAGATAGGATTTATCTGTAGGAGCTGCTTTAGAGAGTGCATTGGGTATTAGAAATCCAGAAAAAAAATTTCAAATTTTTGAAACAACTCAAAGTTCTTCAGGCAGCCTCATATAATTATAAGTATTAATATTTGACCATGGCCTGATTTATTACCTGCCTTACAGCATAAAATGGCATAAAAGGAAATTGGATATTATAATTCAATACTGTAGCAGATACAGCAAAGGAAGACTTGGCCCAACTTTTCTGCCACTTCTCCCTCAGGAATATTTTCATGGGTCTGGGCTTAGGTATTGTGATACCCACTGGATGAAAACTGAAAAAGAAAAACTGGCTAATAAATTATTGTGTGTGTACAATGCCAAACATCCCACCAGCCCCACTTCCCTAAACTTGCTAACTTTGTACTTATCAAAGAGATTAAGCTGTCTGCTCATCTGTGTGCACATTAGGTACATTGGTGTGTTGTAGAGACACAGACAATTTTATCTGGGCAAGCCAGCATTATCCTGCTCACACAAATCTGACCATTAAAGGAAATATCTCACGCAAACACTTTCCAGCTCTTTATTTTGACTTCTGTAAAATGTTTATTTAAGTGAATTTGAGAATTTAATTCGTTAAAATAGTCACACTAATTTTGCACTTCTCCAAAGTCAATTCACAGCAGTGTAAAGACCCCTGCTTAACATAAGAAAAATATTTTGTTTGTTTGTTTGTTTATTATTTAGCAAATTCACATAGTAGTTAATAACAGCCAATTTATTCTTCTAAGAACTTTACAAATATTAACTCATTTAATTTTCCTAATGACCTTTCTTGGTTACTTGGGCTGTTATAACAAAAATACCTTACACTGGGTAGCTTTATTTCTCATAGTTCTGGAGGGTGGGAAGTCCAAGAACTTGGACAGGTTTGTCAGGTTCTGGTGAGAGCCTTCTTTATGGTTTCCTCATCTGAAAGAGCAAGAAAGAGATCTGTCTCATCCTCTTTTAAAAATAAGGGCTATAGGGCGCCTGGGTGGCTCAGTTGGTTAAGCGACTGCCTTCGGCTCAGGTCATGATCCCAGGGTCCTGGGATCGAGTCCCGCATCGGGCTCCCTGCTCAGCGGGGAGTCTGCTTCTCCCTCCAACCCTCCCCCCTTTCATGCTCTATCCCATTCTCTCTCTCAAATAAATAAATAAATAAAATCTTAAAAAAAATAAGGGCTATAATCTCATCATAAGGGTGCCATACTCATGACCTAATCTAGTCTTAATTATCTCTCAAAGGTCTCACTTGCAACCATCATACTACAGAGGTTAAGGTTACAACAAATGAATTTTGAGGGGGTACAAACATTTAGTCCATAGCACAGCCCATTAAGAAGATTTTGTTAATATTGGTTAGGTGAATAAATTGAGGAACAGAGAGATTAAGTACCTTGCCCGAAGGAACACAGTTTCTCATGGATAGAACCAAGATTTTAAATTCCAAGAGAATAGACTCCAATCTGAGCTTCACCCCTACCCTGTATTGCAAGTTACCCAAGAGTTATCTAAAAATGTTATCTAAAAATTCTCAGAAACTGAGAATACTTTTGTAACATGCATTAATTGTGATTTCCATTGATTTCTAAGGATATAACATATAAAAATTAAGATAATAAAAATTGATTTTTATTAACCCATTATATTTTTATTAGGCCATGCAAAACTATCTTTTGTAGCCTAATTTATTTCTCAGACATCTGCAAAACATACTATGAGCTTGTCACCTAAGTTATAAACTACCCACTGCTAAACAGAGGCATGGGTACTGGAAAAAAACATAAAAGAACAGTAATAGACATAATCATTATGAGTGATAGTTAATTTTATATGTGTATATGTGTGTATATTTCTCTAGAGAACCCTATTAATTATGCTTGAGATTTGGTTGGATTAAAAAAATCAAATATACTTAAAGAAAACCCAACATAATACCAAAAAAAGAAATACAAATAAATGTAACAAGGATACCACTCTGTAGATTTCACTCGTAATTGAAGGATTTGAGTGACAGATTGTGAAAATCAACAGAATAGTGTTGGAGGTTTCTAAATGGGAAGGGAGCACATGAAAATGATTTAAGAATTTGAAACCAGCTGTATATGAAGAGATATTTTTGATCAAATGGAGGATTGTGAGTGTAAGGCAACGTGAACCACATCACAAAGTTGGGGGAAGGATGCAATTCACAAAGTCATTCAGGGAAATGTTTCTCCCTAACTTTGTGGGATGCACTACAGTATCTACTATGCCCGGGGCCATATTGGTTGAATTACAGCCTGAAAATAGTGTGTACTGCAGCTCTGAAAATGGAAAAGAAATGTTAAAGCTGAGAAAATACTGTAAAGGGAAAATTGGTAAAATCTGATGATTTGAATGTGGGAAATAGAAGACTGAGGATTTAAAAAATAATATTTAGATTATGAATCTGAAGAACCCAAAGTTTGGAATTTGAACTCCCAAAAAATTCGTCTGGATTTGGAGACTCCTCCACAATTTCCTGGAAGAACTAGAACTGATTTTTTGGAATGAATGGAATGGTTTATATGTGCTTGAGGCAGACCATAGTCCATTCTGCAATAAATAGGTTACCAGATTTATTATTACATATATGTGTGAAAATATTATTAAGAATAAATGTTTAGATTTCCTAACTTCTTTTATGTTGACAATTCAAGTCCTAACTCACAATAAGCAAATTTTAATTTTGTACTTTCCCCAGCCAGGTATCTATTTCCCAGTTTTATAATTTTTATACAACTGCTTTTTTGGTTTGGCTGATAGAAGTCTGCACTGCTACATTAATTTGAGAATTTATTAGGTTTGATTTTTAAAAGAGAAGTTCCACTATGAAACCATGTACAGTCAAAGGGTGCCTGGGTGGCTCAGTCGGTTAAGCGAACGACTCTTGATTTCAGCTCAGGTCATGATCTCAGGGTCGTGAGATCAAGCCCTTTGTCTGGCTCCCATTGGGCATGGAGCCTACTTAAGATTCTCTCTCTCCCTCCCTCTGCCTCTCTCGACCCCCTTCTCCCTCTGAAAAAAAAAAAAAAATGAGGGGTCCCTGGGTGGCTCAGTCAGTTGAGGATGGAACTCTTGGTTTTCTCTCAGGTCTTGATCTCAGGGTTGAGGAATAGGGTCCTACTTCAGGCTCCGTGATCAGTGGGGAGTCTGCTTAAGAGTCTCTCTCTCTTCCTCTCCCTCTGCCCTTCCCCCACTTGTGTACAGGCGCTCTCTCTCTCTGTAAAATAAATAATAATTTAAAAAAATAGATATACATTCAAAACTTAGTGAGAACAACCATTAATAAATGCCTAGTCCTAAATTATGGATAGATTTATTATTTAAAATTAATAAAGATATATTTTGCCATAAGTTATTACATGAGAAATATACAAAGGAAGGGATAGATGTAGGATTTTCTTCAGAGGTTTATTCAAAAGAATCTAGTAATCCAGAGTATGTTTTTTCACATGGCTTTCTGGTATTTCTAGAATATTCTGGCATTGATGGTGCCGAAACAAAACAAAACAAAACTAAACTCTACACTTATACTCCTTGGCATTGCTATTCAATTAGAGAGCAGATCCAACTGACACTGTGGCATAGTCTATTTTCACATTTTCCATGGTATTGAGTCCCCAAGACAACTATTTCCAGTGTTTTTTATCTTCTTAATCATTATTTGTGTTTGTAGTGATGAAGCTGACAGAGATTTGGCTCCCAACTGTCCCCTTGATCCAGACATCACACAGCAGTGATATAAGAGCATGCACCTCTAGACCCATGGGGCCTGTATTTATATCCTGGCCTGCTATTTACTAGCCATGTTAACTTGGGTACGTTACTTAATCACACTGTTTCAGTTTTCTTATCTGTACAAAGGGCAAAACCACAATAACCACCTTATAGGATTTTTATGGAAATTAAATAAGCACCTTAGTCCACGTCTTCTAGAAAGCATAGCATGAGCGAAGGTTTAAGAGGCTAGTCCTTTATTTTGATGGTTACAGCTCAGGGTGGTAAGAGTCAGAGAAAAAGGTGACTGCAGTAACAAAGAAGGTGAAATGATGTGATGTGACGTTTGTTGATCTGGGTGCTATTTCACAGCAAACCACTTAGAGAAAAAGCAGGTCTCTTGGCAGGCATGTTTATTTCGTCCTTGGGAATTACCTGGAAAAGCTGCAATAGGCAATAGCCACAGAGAAGAGAAGGGAGGGAAGGGAGGGAGAAGTTCTCTTTGGACCCCTCATCTGTTCTTTCCCATTGGTCAACGTTCAAAGTTCACTTTAATGTTGAGCTGGCTCTCCTATGATTCCAGATTGCCATTCAGCCCTTGGCGTTTCCTCTAGTAATCCTGCAGAGAGGCTCATCGGAGTCTGAAAGTGAAGAGGAGAGCCAGCGCTGGGAGGCCCCTGTGGGATAGGTCATCAAGGAAATCTGAGAAGGTATCCAGAGTGTTCCACACAATGAATAAATATGTGTAAAGCACTTAGAAGAGTGCCCAAGGATGGTAAATAATTTGTGTGTGAGCTATTATTGCTCTGAGGCAGGCCGGGGAGGATGTAAAATAAGAATGAGACTTATAAATAAAGAGTTGTACTTGATAGTGATTGTAATGAGATTATAATTGTCCCAAGATTGTCTCTGATGTCATGGGTTAAACTGAGGCATAATTACAACTCCCTCTAATGGATTAGAAACACAAAAAGGGAACTAGAAATGGTGGGTTCTTGCAAGTTTTTTTTTTTTTTTTCTCTCAACCAAGACACAAAGAGTGATTTCAGAACAGGCTCAACTCTAATTTGGATTATGACCAATGCACCCAGGGGTGCTGACCGCAGCGGGGAACGAAATAATTCTGCCATGGTTTTGAAGCTGATGCCAGAACAATACATGGGAGACAGTATTTGACTTTCTCTCGGGAAGTCTCCATTTAATTGTATCTCTTTCTGGCTCCAAGGCTTGTGACTTGCTGGAATGCATAACTGAAGAAGACTGGATTCAGGGAATATCGCACAAAAGGACAAATAGCTATAACTTTGGGGGAGCAGGACATAGAAGGTTTCCAGTAAATGGAGTTCTGCCCAGAATTACAAGATTGGGCCAGATCATTGCCCTGATGGTGAGGATTATCTGGTTAAAACTCTGAGACGCTTCAGGAAAAAAATAAAAGCACAAATGTAAAAGCATGAAAATCATCCTTTGTCCTCCCATAGCCCATCTCTTTTTTCCAATCTCCGTCGTATATTCGGGGTCTTAAGTTTAAGGATTCCTCAGTTTTTACCAAACCATCGCATTATAGTATGTTCAAAGGTATTAGTATGCCCAATAATTGACATTTCGTAAATATACAGTGTAATTTCAAACTTACCATGTAAATCTGAGTCATCTAGATGCTGACATAAAATCCCTTTTCTATAATTTTAACTATTTTTCAGAAAAAGATAAAAAAATGGATGCTGTTCTGTTTCATTCTAATTACTATCACTAAAATGGAAAGAAACCAACTCTATCAGGCTTGACTGAATGTTAAGTGGGATTCCCTCCTTGAAGAAATTTTTGCATCGTCAAGGGATTAAACTGGCAGCTGTCAGGCTTTTCTCATGCAAACCACAGACTTTGCCCCTCCTCTTCGAGTCTGATGGAGATTTATGCCAGATGCTTAGAAGAAAGGACTGTATTTCAAAATCTGAAAGTCAGCATAGGGGGAGAGAGGATTGCAGTAGGAAAAAAGTGGATTGTTTCATCATTCTGAAGTTCTTGAAAGTTTGGGAACATGCGTTGTTAGCAAATAAATTACCTAACTAACACACAAGACATAGGTACCATCAAATTAAAGAGTCAGAACACTTATTTGGTCAGAGTGGGTTTCCTCCTGGTCATATTGTTTTCTTGACTTTAGGAAAATATGGATTGATTTTGAGATGCTTGCCACAAAAACTCCCAAGTTTTCTTTTATGATTGCTTCACTGAAATAGACATAGATGAAATTGCCAAGAAATGATCGTTCCTCAAATTTAAGGTCTGTATTCTGAATGTATAATTCCTATGTGTTTTTTTTTATGAATAATGTGATGGAAAACTACAATGAAGAATTATTTTCATTACTATGTTTTTTTCAAATCTAAAATAATATTGCTACTCACATTTTCATTACTTAGGAAAGAATACTAAGTAAATCAGATTTGTTTATGGGCTTACATTTTAATGTCTCAGATCTATGATTTAATTATTCATATATGGATTAATTCAAAGTAAATTTAATCCTAAAAAAATCTTACTAACAGTTTTTATCTTGCAGTCATACTCTTCAGAATAACATATTAACTACACCCAGCTTACATCTATTTTGATAAAAGTATAGAACTTTTGGGGCTCCTGGCTGGCTCAGTTGGTAAAGCATGTGACTCTGAATCTCAGGGTCATGAGTTCAAGCCCCATGTTGGGTGTAGAGATTACTTAAATAAATAAAAACTTAAAAAAAATTATAAAATTTTTTCTCCATATTATCTAGACCCTAGGGTGGAGGGGTAAACACACATAAAGCTTTACTCTTGAAATAATTAAATTTAAGATTAGATTTCATGAATTAGAGTTTGGTGTGTAAGCCAGTTTGAACTAGCCATTTGATTCTATCAATTATTTAAAAAAATTATGTGATTCTCTGCTTTCCTATTAACATTTATATTTCCTCAAATTCTACTTTATCTTTTCTATCAATATTGTAAGCCCCAAATAAGCAATGTATTGTAGATGAACTTTATCACAGTAGAAGTTTAAAAATATGTATCTCCAAATAACTTTTTAAGTATTGCAGAAATGCATTACTAAATTTGCAGGGAATGTTAACAGAAATGTTGAAAAATAACATTTACACTGAAGAACTGCAAAACTGCTTGTATAAAAGGAAAAGGTTGTAATGAGAGACAATAGACTCTGAAAAACAAACTGAGGTTCTAGAGGGGAAGGGGGTGGGAGGATGGGTTAGCCTGGTGGTGGGTACTGAGGAGGGCACATTCTGCATGGAGCACTGGGTGTTGTGCACAAACAATGAATCATGGAACACTTCATCTAAAACTAATGATGTAATATATGGGGATTAACATAAGAATAAAAAAATAAATAAAATAAAAAAAAAAGGAAAAGGTTGTAGAATTGCTACCTTTATTTTTTTTGCAAGATTTATTTGTTTTAGAGAAAGAGTGCACAAGTTGGGGGCAGGGGCAAAGGGAGAGGGAGAAGGAGAATCTCAAGCAGATTTCCCACTGAGCACAGAGCCCAAGGCGGGACTCCATCTCAGATCATGACCTGAGCCAAAATCAAGAGTTGGATACCTAACCAACTGAGCCACCCAGGTGTCCCAGGATTGCTACTTTTAGATAGAATCTATTTAAATATATATGTTGATACTCACTTTTGAATTAAGATGGGAAAAAATAAAAGGCTGCAAAGATATTTTCTGTAAAAAGCCACTTAACTGAAATATACTGATAACATGATTAACTATTCAAGTCACCCCTTCCTAAATCTCCTTTACAGGGATGTTTTTGTTTTGCTTGTTTTGTACGCCACAGGAAAACAGAACAAAACAAAACACGTATTTTTCAAATTTCCTGTTAGATAATAATCCTAGAGCAATTGCAATTTCAGTGTGCAGGAAAATGGATTTAGATTGTTTAAAAGATAAACTGAGACATATTAAAAATGTTTATTTGAGCAAACATTGAATCCAACTGGGCAGCATCCAATCTAGCAGACAGAAAGAAGCTCTGAGGGCCTGAGCAAAATGACAGATTTTTATTGGCAGAAGGGAGAGTGAACAAGGAAGTTATTTTAGACAAAAAAGCAGGTTGGTTATTGCAAAGTCACTGTCCTTTCGGGGAATGTGGGAGTCCAGCGATCGGGTGACCTCATTAGTGCTGATCAGGTGATTCCCGATTGATCGATTTAAAATTCCATTCCTGGGAGAGCCAAACTATAATTATAGTCTTGTTTTGGTGATGAGCAGTTCCATTTGGGCCTGTTTTCTAGTGTTAGATCATCTCCTATCTATCTATCTATCTATCTATCTATCTATCTATCTATCTATCTATCTATCATCTATCTATCATCTATCTATCTATCATCTACCTATCTATCATCTACCTATCTCTCTAAACTTTTGTGTGTGTATGTGTGTGTATGCAATCTCATATTCCTATTTGAAAATAATCAAGCTGTGGTAGATATTAAATTTTTCACTAAAGATTTTAGCTTTTTCTTCCTCTGAACATATAGGAAGCTTGCCCTTTGAAATTAGGTAAGACCACATGAATTACACTGCCCAATGAAATGTAAGCAGAAGCATTTAAGACCTGAGGTGCCATTTGCCTTATCCCTCTTCTAAAGAGTGCATGCTCTTCCCTGAATGAAGATGACACAAGAAGAGCCCTTTCCCAATTTGTGATGGACTTTTGGTATTAACAAAAAAATAAGCCTTTCTTGTTTAAACCACTAAGTTATGTTCCCACATCTGAATCTAGGCTTTCTTGATTGTCCCATTCTTTGTCTCTTTTCCATTCTCTCTCTGCTCTTCTCTTCCTCATTTTTTTTTTCCCTCCCAAGTACTTACAGATATTAAAAGTGTAGTTAATCTTCTTTTAATGACGTGAAATGAAACCAAAATACCGTGGCTAACTGAACTCAGACAACAGTGGGTTTCTCTCTCTCTCTCTATTGAGCTCCATTTTTTTCCCCAAAATACTATCCCTTGTAACTCTCTCCTCTCTCCAAGACCCTCAGCACTTGATCACTGCCCACTTTCCAGTACCTTTTACTTTAGCTATTTAAATAGAGACCTGGTGTGAGAAAGGCAGATGAAGGAAGAAACACAAAGAGAATGAATAACAGAGAAAACTTGTTATAGAACAAGACTATAAAAATCTGAAAAGGCTTTAGTCAGTATTGCTAGTTCTGTTACTAAATAATAATATAAATCAATAAATTATTTCCATCTGTCAAAATCCATGGTGCAGTCTATGTTTTAGGATTGGAGTCACTGAAGTCGTATCTCTGACTTACAATGCGGCCCACGCCACACCTGAATTCATTTTAATCAGAGTCTTTCAGAGCAGCCATGATTTTTTTTTTTTTCTTTCGGAGAGGACTATTTAAATGGGCACCTTAAGAAGTAAATATATATCTTGACATGATTCCTACTATAGCATCAGTAATAAGCAGGTCAGTGGCAAACATGGACTCCAAATGCAAAACTGTTTAAAGGGTTTTATAATATCTTAATGATTCTTCCAAGAGTTGTTTCTGTTGTTGTTTTTCCGTAATTCCAGTTGTCTCTAGAAACACTTAGGTACCTCAAATGAACTTAAAAGTCAAAATGGATGATGTCCATGGATTTCATTGGATGAACACTTTTGTTAGGTTACATCATGATACTAAGGAAAAGCATTCGAATCGCAAAGACAACACTGTTTTAGTTTTCTTTTTTGAAGAGAGATCTCCCACCCCCACCCCATCCCTACTCTTGTCATGCTTTTATTTTCTCAATATTGGTCTTCATTTCTGGACTCACTAACAGACATAAGCAATTTTAATTACTTGGTTCTGAAAATGTCTTTTGAAGAGAAATTTATATTCTGTGTTGTAGCAAATTGCAGTTATTTAGGAACAGCTGCTGCCTGCTTGAGGCGGGCTGGAGTATCAAGGTATACTACCCATTTGGAGCCAAAGGTCGGGGACCATAGAGCAGAGAGTTCCTGCCATCAGACTTTCACTTGTTTTTGTTGTCGTTGTTGTTCAGCTCCCATTCATCTTGATTCTTCTCCATTTTCTCCTTGAACAAGTGGAGATACATTGTAGTTCCAATTTCTATTGGCAAAAAATAACTTTCATTTAAATCGAAACATTTAATTTTGAATTATGTATTCCCTGTAGGTTTCTCTCCCCCCTACCCCCTGCCGACTTTATCCATTTCCAGACTTTGTTTTCATGGAATTATTATCCTCCTGTGTAAAAGTGTTGTGTGTGTGCATGAATTGGTTGATTTTTTATAGGTTATAGAAACGTCTCTTTAATTACCTTGAACGATGTGAAGGCCACAGAGTTGAATGCAACCAAGGTGAATTTAATTTTAAAAAGAACTATAACATTTTAAAAATAATTTCCTTAAATTATTGTAAATATGAAGGAATAAAAATGTTAGGAGTATTCTTTTCCTAGAAAACGTACTCTGAAAAGGTGTTGAACGTGCAGGATCTTTATTACGGAGAACTCCCAGACCAACACCTGTGGAAATGAGGGGAAGGAAGCAGGGTTGGGCAAAGGAAGATGCCAATCACCGTGTAGACCTAAACACATCTACGCCCAGGGAAAGGAGGGGAAGGAAATGGGATTGGGTGGAGGAGAAAGCCAGGTTGCATTGCAAACCTAACACACCTCAGCTGACTCCACAAATGGGTTTGGAGCTTAAATGCCTTTCAGAGTTGCCCTGAACTGGGTCAAGATGGCCAGACCTTTATATTTCCACATCTACCAGTCACTGGGTAATGTGGGCTACTCAGAAGTAGAAACATGACCCTAGGGAAAGATGACCTCAAGCAGCTGGGCTCTGGGTCCGAAGTGATCCCTGAAGAGCATTGTGAAAACTGTCTGTTGACGTACCTCCTGTAGCTGAGGTAGCAAGCCCTTCACTGAGGAACTGTCTGGATGCTAAATCACTGGGTGAGTACGTGTTTATTTCATATAGTATGTACGTATAAATGTATGTCTATCTCTTTGAGTGGATGTGAATAAAGATGTTCTAATAGATGCAGTTTAAAATTTTTCCAATACTTAATTATCCCCTCAATGTCCAATCAGAACCTCTTTAATATTCTATATTGGTAGGTTACTCTATTAATTTACTTTTTTTATATATGACTTCAAAAGTAACAATCATCATATGTGAAATGAAAAAATATCAGAGTAAAAAAATTAGAAACATATTTTAAATGAGAAAGACAAACTACAACCTAAACCAGAGTCATG